TCTTAAAAACAATATTTGTATATTCAGTGTCCCATGCACATTCAGCATCAATTTTATTAACAAGTGTTTTCCATTTTTCTTCTAACACATTCATTTCATAGTCAATATCAGCAAATTCATCTCCTTTGGATACCAGGTGAGTAATTTCATCACACAATCTAGACACTGTGGTGTACAGCACAGGAATTTCAGGCGAGGACATGGTAACAGTCACAGTAAGTATCAACAGTAATGTCACTAAAAATCCAAATTTCAGCTTTACACTCATTCACAGGTAAGAATGTACATTTTCTTAACTTAATGTCAAACGTTTGGGCATTGGTATATATAGAAATAAAAGTTTCAAAATTCACAGTTTTATTATTTCGATAGCACAGCAGTTTCACATTCACAAAATAAAAGTCAGCATTAAACTAATATCTACAGTTACATTCGATATTAAACAATGTATTCTGCTGTTAACTAATGTTTGCTGCCGGTTAAGAAAATGTTTGCTCCTTCCTGCTTGTAATAATTAGCTCTCAAACGAACTTTTAGCTATTTTCAGCATCCATGTGCTTTTAGAGGAAAATAGACAAAACTAAACAGGAAGTAGCCTTTCTTAACCAATTATAAAAGTTACATCGGAATCAGACCACAACTCCTTTTTAGACCAAAGGAGAAGTAGGCCTACAATAGGCTTAGCCTAATAATATTAATGATGACTACACTGAAATGGTAGCCACAAAGACGGATCTCATTGATCATGTCATAAGCAATCTCAAGTAGTTGTTAAAACGCCTATCAAAATAAATCATTTAATAGTACATGTACATGCATGCATGCATCAATAATAATTTGAAACTCTGAATCACAGTAGGCCTAATTCGTCTAAAATGCCACTGTCAATTACGTCGTCGAACAGTTCTTCGTCAACAGTTTCTCTTGAGTCCAGATGGATTTCCTCATCGAGTTCCACTAAAAGGTCCGATAACTCATCTGGATATGGTGTCTTCAACCATTTAATCATTAAATCCTTCGTCCAACCATTAGTTGTCGCGGGGGGGTAGAGACGTAATAGGCTGATCAGACAGCCGCCACATTCTAGCAATATAGTTAGCACGCTGTATATGCAGTACTGGTCCAAGACATACAGCACATTCAGACTCTTCTACATTCCCATCCATTTTGAATTTGAATGCTGAACAATTCAATAATCTTTATGGTAGGTTATGATATAATCGAATCTCTTATGTCATGTTTTTATCGACCCGAAAACTAAACAACGTAATAAATATAATCCGAAGACCAGTTAACAATCCACCATAGTTTCCCTTGACAACTAAAAACAGTTTGTAGTTTAAAGTTTAAAGATCTCCAATCCTATGGTAATAGTCATATAAAGTGTCTCCAGCATTGCCGGGATTGGACATAAGAGTGAAGGATGTTTCTAGGCTGAGTTAAAAAGAGTGTATCATAGTTGACTACCGAATAATATTGTGACCATTATGATGGATTTGATTTATTTTCCTCCATTCTTACTTTCGTGGGTGAAAAGTTATCGGTAGCTTTAGAATAGTTTCCATAGTGTCGTTTCTGTATAAATGGGGTTCTTTGAAGACTAGTTCACTTGGTAAAACAATAACTTTGTGAGCTCCATTGATAATTTTCTTACAAGGTACAGCTGACTTGAGTCCAGTTGAATTCTATAGAAATTAATTTGTTGAAAAACATAACATCATAGAATTTCTTTTTCTCAAAAAACACATTGATTTTGTACAATCTGAGTGAGAGAGGGCTTGCAAAATTGCTACGTAGATAGGCCAAATTCATAAATTCATTTTTAGTTTATTGTTTTAAATTAAAATCTAATGCTAAAAAGGAATAAGGTACAGGTATTTAATAATCATCTGTAGAGACTTTTAAGGTTTTTTTTTTTTATCTCAATTACCCCTAACAGTGACGAAAATACTCTCTCAGCTGCTTTATTTTAAGTTCTTGGTTGGTGGGCAAGTGATAACATTTGAAGATTGTGTCTTGATATCTAGAGAAAAGAGTTTTGTAACAAAATGAAAAATAAAAATTCTGTATTCTTAATATATGCTTTACTAGCCAACAGATCTTAATATAAGCTCATATCCCTTTCCAATTGTATATCTGTTATCCAGTATAAAACGATTATCAGCTTTAAATCGTACTCGAAATGTCAATTTTCAGTTTCCAGGAGGTAAATAATTCTCAATTATGGTGATATTATTATACGTTTCTTATTAAAATATTTCATTATTTTTTTACATCTAATAATTTCAATTTTAACACCGAATGACCAATTCTTTATCTTTTGTTTGATAAAAATCTTCACCAAGACTTATTTATCAAGTTATCATCTTCCTGACATCAGAATACTTCGGATTGCCATGCTTATAATAAATTTGCCTCATGACATGACAATCACCAATATTTTCACAATCATTAGTCACATCTTTCGCCGCAACTTTTTCGATCAACCAACCATAATCACCATGTGGTCTCGTCCCCCCATCTCTTTGTTTAAAGATTCTATATTTGGACACTGATTTTTCCAAGTACTTGTTTTGTCATATATTTTTGTTTATAAACTTAGTCAATTAAACTGAATCTTTTCTGGCTTCGATGTCTAAAGGAGAACCTAGTATCCTGTATCCGAACCTTGGAACTTCTGCATAGATTGGGAAACTGGATGTTAGTTGCATAATTATTGGGGAATTTTGGGACCTTAGAGCATAAATTCGCCCTTCAGACGTTATGGGAATCCAGGAATTGGTAGATACAATCCTAGAACTGGTTATTAGGCCAGAATACTCATATATTACCACTTTGGTTACAACTTGAAACGACTGGCCAATAAGGCATTCCCTGATTTCCCCCCACAAAGCCTAGAAGTCCACATTGTGGATCAGTATATCCATGGGCTTGGGAATCATGACCTTACAAACATGTTCAATTTAGTCATCCTCAAAACTGTGGAACAAGCTATTTCTCTTGACAGAGTTCAAAGGCCCCATGACCGGCACTTACAACTCTCCTGATTTGAAACATATACATAATAATGAGGGTTATTTTAGACGTGACAGACCGGACTATGTTCCTGTTAGATTTCGGGGAAGGGAGTGTTTGATTCTCCCAAATGTACAGGCCTAGGGTGGAGCAGACACTTTATTTAGAAATTAGGATTAAGGGTCTTGATATTGGGTTTTCTTCTGTTCTTATTCTTCTGGGCGAGAAGTATAGTATCTGTTATGTACTGATTGTTTTTAGTTTGCTATGAACAATATTATCATTTAAGTTCTTATCCAATTATCATTTTCTGCTTATAGACATGGGGATTTCTCTTGAAGGCTCTTATAGTGGGCATGAACTATCTTGCTTGCTCGATTGGTGGTTGTATTGGACAAGACAACAAAGGGTGCTATGCCTACATTATGATGAATATTTAGTTCTATAGGTCTTGCTGTATTCAATGTGTTAATCCAATGGGCTTCCCTAGATTTACAGAATTTAGTACTTTCATCTTCGGGCAAGTCAATTTCTATGCGCTCAATTGGGATTAGGGTGAGATCATTGAATGGTCGTCGAGGTTGAAATGATCTGATCTGAAATTAGAAAAAAATGACTCGTCCAGGGGCAACACCTCACGTTCGCACTCTGCCATGAAAAGGTTTGCGTACGAAGGGGCGAATCGTTTGCCCATTGCTGTCCCTGAAGTTTGTAAATATGTTTTACCATTAAATGTTAAATCGTTTCGACTAAGACAAATGTCTAAAAGCTGTAGAATTGCATCGTCGAGTCTGTTTGGATCTGGGTTTCTATTAAAAGCTTTACGAACTGCCGTTAAACCAGTACTATTATCGATATTGGTATACATAGAAGAAACGTCGATAGAAATTAAAATAGCATCAGAGGGAACTGAAAAGATTTTTTATTTTATTGACAAAATCGGTTGTGTCTTTAAGGTAGGCGCGATGTTGACATGCTAGAGGTAGTAAGAAATGGTCAATGTATTCTGACACTGCATACGACTCACTACCACAGTCAGATATAATCGGGCGGCCTTTAGTGATTTTATTCGAGATAAACCACTGCTTGGTTGGATTTTTATGGCAAAGTGTACAAATGTCTCTCGTGACAATCAGGTTTGGCAGACAGATAGTTATATTGTTTCTGTTTGAGATAACTAGTTTTGACTAAATCGGCAAGAATATTGTTAATCATGTTAGCAGTTTCTTTCAAACCTGGTTCCGGTAAAATGGCATAATGTTTATGATTATTCAGTTGATTCTCTGCTTCTGAAACGTAATCCTCCCTATTCAGAATGACACAACATAAACCTTTGTCACTCTTTTTAATAACAATGCTATCGTCTTTCTTAAGTAAGTTTAACGCTTCACGTTCCACTCGTGTGAGATTAGGCTTTTCGTGTGTTATGGAAAGGTTCACTGTTTGACTATTCATACTCGCAAATGCTTTCAATATTTCAGGATGGATGGCGGCCTAAGGGGGTGTCCACGTGGATTTAGGAATAAACATCGTTCTAGCACCACTTGGAGTGGTTACGAAAAAAATATGTGCAGCTAAGATTTCGTTGAAATCGTTCAATGGATGGTCGGAGATAATTCAAGTTGGCTATCTCTGGTGTTGGTCCACGGTCTAAGATTGAATGCTGAAGGGATGTGAGAATTTTGCGGCTCAAGTTAACTACAGTTTGGTCTAGCGGTGGCCTCTCAGTATTTTTATCGCCAGTAATTAGTTTAAAGACTCCATCATCATATTGTTGAGGGTTCTGTTGTGCTTTCTTCGAAATTTTATTTGAGATGGGTATACATGTGAAGAGGATCTTGGAGTTTGGGAAGGTTTTGTTGTCTGTAGCGATTAATTTCTGGGCTTGATTAAAGGATGTCTTTGGAAGCTGATCACGGTTGTTGAGGCCTACATGAAGAATAACGGTAGTAGGTTTGGGATCATGCCCGTATGATTCCACGATTAGAAGGGGTAAGAATGTATTTCAGTGTCTGAACTGGTTTTGGTAATTCGATTCAGGTTAGATGATCCAATAATTAAGGTAGATTTCTTTAGAGCAGGTAGCTTCCATAATGATTTGTCCTTGGTTTGGTGATAACAGGGTTTGGTAGCGGATATAATGGTTTTCGACCGGGTGATTGTTACTGGTTTGGTATTGTAGCATTGGGAACGGACTGGGATCTGGTTCGAGGGGGAAAGGTCTGGATACACGTCTCGACCTGGATGGAGACTGGGGGGTGGTTTGCTAGTCCAAAAACGCACAGTGAAGATTCAGATGGCGTGGAAGGGGAAGACGAGTCTGAAAGTGAAAAGGGATTTAAACCAATAAGAAAATTAGAAAACATGAGAATGTTATTGGATCACTACAACTTCAAACACTATATACGCCAGAAGAAATTTTTACAAAATTAAACTTCATATTCTTTAATTTTCTTTGGAACGGCCCAGACAAAATAAAAAGAGAACAAATCTATCAAAACAAATTCAAAGGTGGCTTAAATGTGCTTAATATACGAGAACACCATGCTTGTAAATCTCTGTTATGGATTTAAAAAATGTTTCTTATAACTAGAAATCAAAATTTGATGTCGACCATACTAACATGTTTAGAACCTCATAATCCTTTTGTTTTGGCATCGAGTAATTTCCGAAAAGACAAAATATTAATTAAATCCCCATTTTATAAACAAATGTATCTAAATTGGTACGAGATATATAACAAAAATATAGATAATCATATTGGAATAGAAAATCAAATTGCCTATTTAAATAAACATATAAATATCAATTCTTCATCTAGCATTATATCAACTTTAATTAAACATAACTTTCTTTACACATCAGATTTCTTAACAAATTCACAAAATAATCTTACTGAATCTGAAAAGCTTATAGTACAAAAAAGCAATTCAGAAATCAGGTTTCGTATCAAAAACCTCTAACGAAAATAGACCTCTTGAATCTGTCCCTACAAATTACGCAACACAACTAAAGGAGGATATAGCATATAATTTGACGACCTTCTATCACTTTAGCTCTAATACAATTAAACCAAGAGACATCTACAAAAAATGCATCAATGCTAAGTTTATAAAACCGAAATCAATTATTAAATGGGAAGATGATTTAAAAATCACATTAAATGAAACCGATATCAATTCAATTTTTCGGAATTTATACAATTATTGTTCGGATAAAAAAACTCGAAATTTTCAGCACAAATATATCAATAGAATCATTTATACTAATTATAAACTTTTCAAATTCAAAATAGCTGAAACAATGCTTTGTAATTTTTGTAATTCTACCATAGAAACAATAGACCATCTATATATTCAATGCGTACATACACAAATCATCTGGAGTAAGCTACATGAAATCATAGACGAAAATGATATATCAATAAAAATAACTAATGAAATTATACATTTAGGATTGTACACAAATAATTTTGATTGTGTCCTAGACAAGAATGAAATTAACTTTATCAATCATTGCTTAACTCTCACAAATACTTTATCTACCAAAATAAAATTAGAGGCGAAATACCAAATGAAACTAAATATATTCAATTTCTGATAGCAAAAGCCAACATTGAAATTACCAAAAAAGAAAATGAAATATCAAAATGGAAATATCTATACGCTTTTATCAATACATAAGACTTTAAAGTGATTATCACCAAGACACACAATCACCAACGAACCCACTTTTGTAATGTTGTATATTGTGTATTGTTTGTATGAATATGTATATTGTATAGCTGTAGAATGTTATTGGATACCGGTGCATCTTTTTCTTTGTTTTCTTATAAAGAATATTTAAAATTGGGCCCAGAAAATGAACCATTGGTTCCCACGGGTCTGGTACAATTAAATATCGAGCTCGGTGGCCGGAAGTACGTCCAAGACTTCCTGGTCACGGAGAATCGATTTCAATGGAATAATTGGAATGGATGTTATTTTAAATCATAATTGTAAATTGGATTTTAAAAATGTGACAATCTTGACGAGTGTTAGTCATAGGATATCTTTTGTCAAAAAAGTCACATTTCCATCATGTGCAAAAGGTAAGCTTTTTGAGTCTGTGGTAATCCCAGGAAATTCGGAAAAAATAATTAATGGTTTTTTGGTTGAAACCTTGGGTAATCGACCCTTATTGATAGAAACTGATGTCTCTTTTTGAAAAGAAAATATTGTTAGCTAAATCTCTTTTGCAAGGCTAAAACGGCAACATAACCTTGTGTATTTCAAATACAAACAATAGAGATATTGAATTGGAAAGGGTAACTCATATAGGTCAAGCTGAACCGGTAACAGAAATAAAATTTATTAGACAGAGAAACAGCCAGAAACAGTACCTGCACATTTGCAAGATTTGTTTGAGAAATCCTCAGAAAGCTTAACAAATTTTGAAATTAAAAAATTGAAACATCTCATCATTGACTTTCAAGACATTTTTATGGCATCTGACGGTAAATTAGGTAAAACATCGGTAACAAATCATACAATCGAAACGGGAAATGTTTGTCCAATAAAGTTACCCCCTCGAAAGGTACCCCCATATCTCAGAAAAGTAATTGAGATGTTGTCAGTCAAAGTAGCGGGCCTTGGTCAAGTCCTATATGTTTAGTAAAGAAAAAAGATGGTACGCACAGATTTTGTGTAGATTTTCGCAAGATCAATGATGTCACCAGGAAAGACTCTTACTCGTTACCTCAAATTAGACAAACCATGGAAAGACTAAATATTTTAGTACCCTAGATTTAGCCAGTGGTTATTGACATTTAGAATTGGATGCTAAATCAAAAACTGGCCCTTTCAACATATTGTGGGTTGTACGAATTTAATGTGATGCCTTTTGGCTTGACCAATGCCCCCGCTACTTTCCAAAGATTAATGGAATTGATATTAAAGAGTCTTCATTGGAAACAATGTCTTGTTTATATTGGTGACATTATAATCTTTTGATGCGGTGCTAGGAAACTTGAAACTTTTTTTCCTCCGCTGTGGGAAGCTAAGTTGAAGCCAAGTAAATTTTTTCTGTTTCAAACTCATGTCACTTTTTTGGGACACTTGGTTTCATCAACAGGAATCGAATGTGATCCCGGGAAGGTGGAAGCAATTAAAAATTGGCCTGTGTCTACAAATGTAAAAGAAATTCGGAGTTTTCTTGGCATTTCGGGCTATTACAGGAAATTTATTCCAAATTTTGTATCAATAGCACATCCATTGACCTATCTGACTCGTAAAAAAGTAAAATTTAAATGCGATGAAAATTGTAGTCAAGCTTTTGAACTTCTTAAAGAGAAATCAATCACATCTCCAATACTGACTTTTCCTAATGAAGTTTTATATTGGACACTGATGCCAGTGGTTCGGCTTTATGACCTGTCCTGTCTCAGATCCAAAATTGACAAGAAAGGGTCCTTTCTTAAGCAAGTCACACTTTGAACCGCTCCCAGAGTAATTACTGTGTGACCAAACGTGAGCTTTTGGCAATTGCTGTGTTCATTAAACATTTTCATTATTACTTATATGGTCGGCACTGGTGGTAATCCGCACCGACCATTCCTCTTTGAAATGGCTGCAAAATTTTAAAGAGCCCGAAGGCATGCTGGCCAGATGGCTTACACTTTTGCAAACCTATGATTTAAAAGTTAAAAGTGTGGCCAGCAAGGCAAAAGTAGTATTGGAACATTAAAACATTAAAAATTCCGGAAATGTACAGGCTTTTGAGTCATATATGAAATCATATTTTCATTTACCATCTTCATCCAATAAAAGAAAATGCAATGAACAAATAAATCTAACTAGCCCCCAAAAAAGTAAATCAGAAATTTCTCATTCTCGGATAATCACAAATCAAAGAATTGAAATCATTGCATTACAAGTGTCGCATTCAGATCTTTATATCTTCATTTGTATTAACCTTTAAGTTAGTATTAGGTACTAATATTGGATTTACCTCCCTTTAGTATGTAACATCTATGATGTCACTTCCTAGAGAATAAAAATCATGGCTGAATCTTGAATATTGCTTTCACTGTGGAAAGGAACTAAGGACAGATTATCCTGGACCCAAAACCCCTACAGTCCAACATAATATGGTGGAGATGGCCGTTTTCTTTCCTGTGTAAACAATTAGAAGACCAATTTTGATTGATGACCTAGAATTCAGGTGATATTCAACGATTTAATGACCTACTCTTCACACGGTCTGTGATAGAAAATCAGCCAGAGAATCATTCCTAACAATTTTTCAACTCATTAATTTTGCTGTTGATTTGAAGTTTAATATAATAAAAAAACTTTGGAGGCTACTGATTAAGCCAACTAAGAATTTGTTTCATCGTATTGTGTAGCCCACGTGCAGAATTAGTAGAACTAAATAAAAGAGTCTAGATTAACCCTGGCTTCACCACGTGTTTCCTGTACATACGTATGCAAGCTGCAGAATTTCATCTGTTCCAAGAACTTACATTAGATCTTGGCTACGGCTGACTATTATTCATTACACATTTTACAGAAGATTATTTTACTTCCCTCAAATGTTTGCTACAATTTCAACTTATATTTCCACTTGTCATCGATGTCAGCAATTTAAGCAAAAGACTGACACTGAACGTCTTTATCATCCTAGAATTCCAGTTGATTATCGTACTTTTAACCGCATGTGTTTGAATTTTAAGACAATGCCTCAATCACCAACTGGTTTTCGTCACCTTTTAATTGCTTGTGATGAAGTTACTAGATTTTTGATATGTGTTCCTTTGAAAAGTTTGGACGCTGTAACCACACGAGATAAAATTAAAAATCATCAAATATCATACAAAAATCAAACGCCTCAAACAGAATATACAGGATCTTAGAAAGAAAGTAACATAATTAAAAAGAAAATCTAAAACAACAAAAAAAGGTACCAAGTGCAATACAATTCATAAAATTATATAGAATCTGGAACAAGAAATAGACATTTTGAACACTACTGCTATTGAAAATACAGATACAGATAATAACATACATGAGAAATTTTTTAATACACAAGATAACACCAAAGGGAGAACATACAAAAACAAAATAAGAACAATATACTATGAGTTTCGTAATAGGGGGGTGGGTGTAAAACATATTCAACCATTAATTAAATGCATATTAGATACACTGAACATACATAATTCCAAACTACCATCCGCATCAACAGCAGCTTAACTATCAACAGAAATGGGACTCATTTCAAAAGAACAACTAAAACATCTTTCATCTGAACCAAACCTTACATAATTCAGAGATGCTACAACAAAAAAAGGACGCCATTAGTATTCATTACAGTTATCAACACACAATAAATTATACACAGCTGGCGTCAAAGAAATCAAAAATGAATCTGTAGAAACTTATTTTACAACTACAAAAGACATTTTACAAAACATAGAATTCGCATCATTTCAAAACATCTCCTCATTCATGACAGATCGCAGTGCCACAGAGAGCAAAACAAACAAATTAATAAACAATGAAACATCATCATTCATCTATCCATTTAAATGTGTAGTACATTCATTAGGCCTACTTCAATTTTGAGACACATGTTTGAAAGAAATCACATGCATAGAACAAGAATTCATCGCAACATCATCAACATCCACATTAGCAACCTCTGCATTATCAACATCCTTATAAGCAACCTCTTCGTCATCAACATCTGACAGGACCATTTTATCATTCATTTCAAAACTTTTTTTTAAAAGATGGATCTGGATATCCCAGGTTGGCATTTTTTTGAAGGAAAATGGAATCTCCAGAATTCCTATTATTCGAAGTAAAGGAAATCGTTTTAACGTGGAATTTTACAATGCTGCTGGTCTCTTTTTTTCATATCTCCATTATTATTGCAATATTTTTCAACCACAAAATCATCTTTAAATTTCACCCAACGTTTTTTATACACCAGACTTCAACAAGACATCTTTCAATCCATTCTCAGATCATTAGGAATCATCTCCATATCCATCACAGAATTATACTGGGCATCATCTACATCAACACCATCTGCATTAGAAATGGGAAACATTAACATCCAATTAATCAACTTTTTAACAAAAATAACAAAATAACAAAAATTTATAAAGTGACCTTTGATAGTCATTCACTATGAATGATTATGTAACAAAGAGGAGGATGTACGATCCCTATTCTCGCAAAAAACCAGACATATCAGACTTGATCATGTCACTGAAGATATCGGCTCCTACGCTGTTATGCCTGTAGAGGCCAACCAACAATCAATAAAAGTGCTGATGACAACCATGTACCACGGAGCGCACTACAGAGAAAAATATTAAAAAAACAAATGAAAATTCCAGGAGGCCAACTTTTCGTGGACACTGAAATTAAAAAAGGCACTCTGTGATACATCCAGGGATGTGAGATTTCCGCGGATACATGATTTTTAAAAGTCCGGATTGTCCGTGTTTTATCCAAAGACATGCTTATCTGCTATGTTTATTGTTTTAACGTCAACAGGACACAGTTTGTACGCATGCTCCACTCAATTGTTTCATTCGATACCTCTCGTGATTATCTTAATTACAGGGTAAATGTTGTGAAATCCAATCGACAAATTTTCGCAAATTCTCCGACCTTTACCGCGAACGTGTTTTAAAATATCAAATATTGCGAGGACCGTTTTTAACTTGTCGAGACGACTTTCGACCAAACATGTCAGTTTGCAAAAAAGGTGTAAACACCATTTCACGGAAGGTATCGAACGAAGCATTACATGATTAAATGGCGGCAAGTTCAGCACTTCGTGATTCCTCGAAAGTTGATTTTTATATTTGGAGTGAAAAATCCGTGGCGCACTGTTTATTTGAATTAAAATTTAAGTTGGAAAATTATGCATGCTTACGAATCGAGTCTGATATTGATAACAAAACAACTGTCTAGTAGGCATGTAGAAAAAACTTAAAGAGAGAGAGACAGTCTAAGGTCTCTGTTTGTCTTAGGTCTCTGTTTGTTTCTCGTGCATATAACAAACTTTCTTCAACAAAATTTGCATTAATCTTTTAACCTTACCAAGTAAATTTAATTGTCATTATTTATGTTTTTCTTTCATGTAAATTATACTCCGAGATAACCCATCCATTTAAATTACTACTCGGGTATAATCAAAATTCAAAGTTAGTTCTAATCAATTTACAATTCACTAATCCCGCTTATTTTATCAAATATTTCTCATGTTTATTTATTTTATATTTTTGTATTCTTGATTTCTGATTATTTATGTTTTTCTGTTATGTAAATTGTACTCTGAGATAATCTAATCCTCCTGAATTATTACTCAGATATAATCAAAATCTAATCCAATATTTCTATAATCCTCAATTGATCAAAGATATGACTCAACTAATTAAGAAATCAAAAATAATCCTAATCCTCAACTGATCAAAGATATGACATGATTCACTCAATAATTTTTAGAAAATCAAAAACCTGTATTAACTGACTACTATATAAATCGCAAATTCAATCTCATTTCATAACCATTCCTCGACACTTGAAAAAGGATAATATTTCGAAAACCGGTTCGTGTCAATTGAGTAAGTTTTTGTTTTACTTGTTATAATTTTTCACATCATTGTTAGCGTTATTTATCACCTAAATATATATTTTTTTGCATTTTTCATCTTGCTTTATATATCCCCAAACCCAGTTTGACTTATTTGCATAATTTGATCCCAACATTTTCACGCTAGCATATATAGTTTCCTCCTGTTACATCCGCTGTACATTCCCTTCTAACCCCAAGTTATTTTCATTATGCTCCCCAACTACAACAACCACTGGCAAGAAGCCAGAAATAGAAACACTAATCGTCAACCAAACCAATATCACGTACCCTACAACGGCCCTGTCTTCCATCGACCTCTACCACCTACCAATCGCCGACCACCAACCAACCCATCCAGCTATATCCCACCCCATCGCCGACCTACCTACAACACAGCCTACCAATCAAGAGGTAACCGTCGACCTGACCAACAACAGAAACGACTACCAGCCCACCGACGCCAACCAGTCCCCACTCATAAGGAGGAAGAACCCTTTGTGAAGGTGTTCTTCCAAGTTTTGCAGTGCCTCCATCATTTGGCAATCCTTACCCTTCAACAACAAGGCCAACCAGCGTTTACCTTCAAACGCAAAGTCTCTGAGTTGGATAGTTTTATCCGTCCAGCAATGAAAACATCAGCTGTCGACGCGAATATTAGATCCCTCAATCGCTCTGTAAGGTTACGCAGGTCCTGATCGACCATTACCAAACCACACTTCAAGAGAAGCTGACCACCATTCGTACCAAGTCTTTATCATCACCTGCCGTCGACCGCATCGTTTCTCATGCCCTGTCCTGGGCCCGTCGCTCCTATGGGAAACGTCTCACTCAAGCTGTAATCTCCAAATTCTACCAAACAATCAACGAAACAAAAACCATAACTCTACCAACTGAAATGGACACTACACCTGCACCATCTAGAGCCACCACGCTGCCGAACCAAACCCCTAAACGAGCCCGAAGTTCACCTACTCCTAGTCCAGCAGACATAGGTAAACGCTCTCGTAGAGAGGGCACACCCCTTCTCTTTTCACTTTCAGACTCGTCTTCCCCTTCCACACCAGCTGAATCTTCACCACGTGATCCAGGATCCGCCAACCTTTCTTCCTTCTGTGCGTTTTTGGACCAGCAAACCAACCCTCAGTCTCCATCCAAGTCGAGACGTGTATCCAGACCTTCCCCTCCTCGAACCAGATTCCAGTCCGTTCCCAATGCTACAATTCTAACAACTACCAAACCAGTACCAATCACACCGTCGACGACCATTATATCCGCTACCAAACCGTATTATCACCAAACCAAGGACAAATCATTATGGAAACTACCTGCTCTAAAGAAATCTACCCTAATAATTGGATCATCTAACCTGAATCGAATTACCAAAACCAGTTCAGACACCGAAATACATTCTTACCCCGGTGCCCAAATCCATCACATACAGTCAATCCTGGAATCATACGACCATGATCCCAAACCTACTACCATTATTCTTCATGTAGGCCTCAACAACCGTGATCAGATACCAAAGACCTCCTTTAACCAAGCCAAGAAATTAATCGCCACAGCCAACAAAACCTTCCCAAACTCCAAGATCCTCTTCACATGTATACCCATTCA